CTTTTCTTCCTCCTCTCCTCCCCAGTCCATGGCAGTGGTGACAGCTACTGCGTTTGCAAGGCTTGTGCGTTCCCTATGGTGAACGTTGGATCTGACTAAAGAGCCATCGTAGGAGGATGTAGTGTTTATTCTTACTGCTTGTAGTATAGGGATTATAGAACCCAACCACAGAAGCAAAGGATGTTGAAAAGAGCTTTCTGCATCACGGAGCGATGCTCTGAAATAAAACTGTTGTTCAGTTGTTGGAGAGAAAAAATGGGGGTGATTAGAGAGGCAGGCAGGTGCCAAAAACTAGCAGAGTTCTGAGCGCTACTGAAGAAATCCACCATCTTTGCAAATCTATTAGCAATGCTCAGACCCCCATCGATGTTTTACCAAAATACTGATAGCTTCCTTTGAAAGACAAATCAGTGAAAAAGGACAATGAGGGAAATACAAGCTTATTTCAACAGAAAATGAATAGCAGGATTTTCAAAACTTCATACAGTAATCATGTCATTTATCACAGTAGATTGGTTTTTGCATCTAGGCCTGAAGTTAGCTTGCTACACATGATTTGTATTAGTAATTCAAGTTTGTTAAGGATCAGTGATATTTGGTGAAATGTAATTTTTCAAAGAGAGTTTTTGTCATCTGATGTAAATTTCCCACTAGATGAGGCAAAGGAAGGAAGTAGGATTTACTCTAGCAGTAATTGTAATCACAATGTTGTTTTGCAGGCATATGTTTGGAAGAATAATGTTTATATAAAAGCTTCACCAACAGCAGAACCTGTGCAAATCACTAGTAATGGAGAAGAAAATAAAATTTTCAACGGAATACCAGATTGGGTCTATGAAGGTAACTATATCAAGCGTATTTTACTTTGCATTATGATGTAAAAACTTTGTTTGAACGTAATTATTTTATTGTAACTCTTCTCTCATTTCTTATCATTGAAAAGTTCGAGATAATCTAAGTCTGTATTTTAACAGAAACATGCATCCTTAGCTGAGCTTAATGCCTGGCTAGTGTGAGGATCTAAGAACAGAAATGAGTTTGCCTAACTTGCAGTGCATCACTGGAAGTCATAGTGTGTGAATTAGCTTCATATGCTGGATTATAAGCATTGATCTAACTTCTCATTTCAGAACCCTGGCAAACAGTCTGCACTTTGGTATCTGAACTTCAATAAAAAAAAAAAAAATCCTATTAAAAACCAATGAGAACAGTACCTAGAAGTGCCAACTTACCAGTTTTAACTTAAATGCATTTTTATCTCTTTCAGAGGAAATGTTTGGCACCCATTCTGCTCTGTGGTGGTCTCCAAATGGCAATTTTGTGGCATATGCAATGTTTGATGATACAGAAGTTCCTCTTATAGAGTATTCCTTTTATTCTGAGGACACCTTGCAGTATCCAAAGACCATTAGAATCCCATATCCCAAGGTCTGTGTTATTTATTAAACATGGTTATTCTGCAGTTTCATTAAGAGAGTAGTCTCATTTAATCAGTTTCTGCTAATGAAAATATTGTCTGTCTCTCCTCAACAGCTTGCTGTGATTACTCTTTCTGAAGTCAACAGCATCTGGCAATGTTAAAGTATTTTATTATCTCCAGGGGAAAGCAAAAAAAAAAAAAAAAAAAAGTATGATTTAAGGTTTTGTTGTTTAACCAGAAAATTTCGAGGTAGTAAGTAGATGTTGAGATAAAAATGCTCTCGGGGAATTGAATTTGGTACAAAGCATTTGGCAGATGCACATTGTGTTGGGGTTGTACATGGTATTGATAATGGAATCTTCTTCAACTAATGTGGCGGTTTCGGTTGTTGGGTGCTTCCTATATTGGGATGAAGGGGAAGAATCTGCTGATGGAGTTTCTTTGCGCACACCTAAAGGTCTTTCAGTTTTAGCTGTGAGAGTGAGGCCTCTAGTGCATGCAGCTCCTCCTCCCCCTTCCTCTCCACATGACTTTGCACCCACTGCTCGTGGCACAGTTGGCACGGGACTCAAGGGTGTGAGAGTCGGGAGTCCGATACGCTCCAAACAGGTTCTTTCGGATACTCCACATGTGAAGGGTTTAATGTTTAATACAAGATTTACCCATGTGAAATGATTTGATGTTACACAGGATTTGGATTTCGCAGAGCAATGCACTTGAGACACAATTACACTTAGAGTACAGCAATTGCACTGTACTGCTGAATGGCGATAGAAATGTGGCTCTTATTGCTGGTCTCCATACTGCGCTCACCGACACAATGCTGGGCATCCCCATTGCTGGGAAGGAATACATGGGTTGAAACTACAGCTGCCTACCAGTTACGATGAGGACTTAGCTAGCTAACTTGTACTTCTCAAGAAGCCCTTACTGACAGTTATGTTGCTGTCCGTACCTAATAGCACTACAGTAGAAGTAGCGGGGTATGTGCTGCAGTCAAAGCTTTGATTCTTGTTTGGGCAGCTATCATATGATAGCTTCGTGTAAGGTACCGCTTTCCATGAAGAAGCACTTTTCTGTCTGTTAGCAATGGATTTGATTCGCTGTTAGATACCATGTGTAGTATGTGGGACGAAAGAATGGTCGAATACTGCTTTGGGCACAGCAAGCCCTATGTAGTTGCAAACGTTTCTAAATGTAGTATTTTTATCTAGAAATACATAACTTGCACTTTCATATAAAAAAAATATACAAAGGATAATTTATGTATTGATCTTAAGAACTGCATTTAGGAACTTGTCTTTTCACATGTTTGAAGTTGGCTGGTTCTACCTGACTGTCTGTAGTAATTTCTTCATCTAGTTTCAAACACTCATTTCACCAAGAATATTCTCTCTTCAAAAGTACAATGAAAAATTTTATTTTTAGGCAGGAGCTAAAAACCCAACTGTGCAATTCTTTATTGTGGATACCAAATCGCTTCCTGATTCCCCCCCTGCTGAAATATCTCCACCTGCAGAAATAAAATCAGGGTAAGAAATTTTGGTTAAATGTTTGCTTGTTTCTTTTGGTGGGAAAGGAGGAGCTTTTATGTGTGACCATCCTATATTCAGTGTATATGGCAGTTTTTTCCCAGTCATGCGGCTCTGGTAGCAACAAGATTTACCAGAGAAAATCTGCACAGAGATTATCCTCCCAGTGATTATATATAGATGGCATATTCCATGTATGTTATATTCAGAATGTGACAAGTTCTTGGCTCATCACATTCGGTGGAGTCTAACTATGGTGAAGTCATTTCACAGTACAACTTTAATATGAGCAAGTTTTGGTATAATCAAATTATAATATATGTATTCCAATTCACTGGGGGGAAAAAAAAAACCAAAACAAAACCTTAATGGTAAGTGAAGATTTGATTTCATTGGAAGCAAGACTCCGTGCTAAGGCAAGGCATCATGGTTGTCTTCAGATTTATACTTAAAATGTTTGTTTTCTTTGGAAACATGGTGAAAACCAGCACCTCTCACAGTAAATGGAAAATTGTATTTCTCAAAATGCCACTGGAAATGCACAACATGATATAAATGTATTTTGTAAAGAGCAGCTAAATTGATTTAAAATGCATGCACACAGAATTTGGTATCCCAGATCTTCGGTTTTGTTTTTTTCTTTTTAACAGTATTGTGGAAATTTTTAGAGGTTTGCACTTACAAACATGATGGGTATGGAAGCATGGGTTATACTGATAAGCTTCAGAAAAAACAAAAGAGGTCTGTTAGCCAGTGCACAAAACCTGCATTTTGTATGCAGTGGCCAAAAAGCTGTAACTTGGAATATCAGTGCTATTCTGTTTCAGTCCTCCCCATAGTGTAACTAACACCTCTGTGCTAACTCAGATACGCAAGTTTTTATGAATACGTTGTTCTTTATCCTTTCACTACAGTAACACTGCAATAACTAGGTGTTATATAGCTGTGTGCGCTGTTTTTCTCCAGAATTTCAGTGCCTCAGAATGACAAGCCCTCTATTTTTTGGTTAAGATCTCTGCTGTCTTAAGAGTTATGTCTCGCCTTTTGTTAACACCTAATGAAAGCTGAACAGTGCTGCTGTGTGACCTGGAGAGAGTAACCATCATCCGTCTTCCAGCCTCATATCCACTGGGCTAACGCAGGCCTGAGTTATATGGGCTTAATCCATTTTTAAATGAATGTAACGCTCTGTAAATCAGGATTAATGCAAAGATAACTCAAGTCTTGAATGATGAGTGCAAGGATCAAAACTTACTCCTTCTCCCAATGGCTGATCCAAATAATGGTTAAGCCTCAGCATGTGCGTCCTGCAAAGGTTGAGGTGGCCAGAACAAGTCTTGGGGAATTTTGCAAGAGCAAAAGTACATGAGTAGGAAAAGGCAAGTGATGTGCAATGTTGCTGTCAGGTAGTTTTGCTCCTGGAAGCACAAAGTAATGAATATTTGCACAATATACATATTTACAGCACTGTATGACAGGAAAAGTTTGTTTTTGTTGTGGAAAAATCCATTTTTACTTCCTTGGAGCTAAATTCTGAGTAAAACTAAGTTTGAGTTGGTGGCATACCTCAACCCACCCACCTGGGTGGGGATTTTGAGGGGCAGTGCCCCTGCAAATGGTCGCCTGTTGATCCAGAGCTGCTTGCATGTGCAGCAGTTGTACCCCTACGTTTTAAGGGGGCACACTTAAAGACAATAAAGTTTTATTGTTTGTCAAGGAAAACTGCCAAAGTCTGGAAATGGCGGTGCTTTGCCACATAACATGGTAGATGAAACCTGAGGCTTTTTGCACGAATGACCAGCATGAAATCCATACAGCGTTTTAACACTGCTTTTAGCGTCCTGGGTACAGGGGGCTCCTGTTGCCTAACAAGAGGATGAAGGCAATGGATGCTTCTTGACTTCAATGATGTGTCCTAAAAATAAGTCATCTTCAGAGCAGCAAGCTCCAGACGGTGACTGCAGGAATATCCCTTCTCAGCAGCAAATGAGGAGGGGCACTGCAAAACTACTGTGCTCTATACTTGAGTTAATTGCAGCTTGCTTAACGTTTCATGGGTGGTTCAAAACTGAAGGTGCATTCCTAGTCCCTATAATAACCTTAAAATGTATATTACATTATAATATAATAGCATAATTAATAATATCTTTCTGATTTTTAACTTGGACTGTCAGTCTTGTCTGATGGATGATTTATAGTCTTCAGAACTGTTAACTTCTCTCACTTTGAAGGAACAAAAACTGGGGGGCTAATTCCCCTTTTACAAAACAAGGGAAGTCACTATTATAGGTGTATGAAGAACGGCAGTTTCGTGTTTTTTTTTTTTTTTTTTTCCAAACAAGCTCCTGCAAAGTGCTTTTAGACTATTATTGGTCTAAAATATACTGTTTGAAGCCAGTGACAGTAGCAATTAAATGACCTGCCAACTTCCCAGTCAAACATGAATGTGAAAATAGACCTTTTTTTAAACATGATTTCTAAACCGCAATCTAGAAATAAACCTGACAGTGGTCGGTAACCAGTTGGCATGTATTTTTAATCCGTCCACACTAATTGTAGTGTTTTCTTTTTCTCTCTCCTTCCCCCCCCCCCCCTCCAATCACGAAGATACTCACTCTCATCACAAAACTTCCCACACATTTTTGTTAAACTAACTTTGGGGAAAAAGGGAACATGAACTTGGAACTAAGTCAAATGTGCAAATTCCGGTTAAAAATGTATACTTGCCTTGGAGGGGAGGTTTGTTTTATTTTAGTTCATAAGGCTTCTAGGAGATAGGAGAGATCTAAAATAAGAAAAGACGAGTACATCTAACAGATCATAATGGTAAATAAATCCACTAAATTTTGTGGTGCGTTTTTAAAATTAATATACAGGAAAATTCAGGAAAATTATATTTTCTTTCAGATGCTCCAGTTCTTCCTGTCAACTAATTGGTATTCTGAAGATGAAAGTAAAATATTCAAATAGTAGTATCTGTTCTTGGTACGATCCACGGATGGAAGGTACATCCCTCCATTCTAAGTAATGGAAATAAATACTAAATTGAACAAAGATCTGTATCACTCAGAAAGTGCTTACAGGCAACCCAACGATTCTATGAAATTCATGCAGCTAAAAACAAATTCCAAAATCTAAGGCCCATAGAACTTAATATTCAGAAGAATTTCCTCTAGATGCTCGTTGTAGAAGATTCATGAACAGTCTGGAGTAGCTGTTATTTCATGTATCAGAGGATAGTGATCTGTCTGTTAGAATTTAATTGCAGTCTTTCTGGAAGGGGGTATGTACAAATTGTCTAATGCTTTATTGTATGAATGAAAATAACCAAGGCATCTACTAGCAGCAAAAACAATTGGCAAAAAAATGGCACAATTAGGTTTGCATCATTGTTTATTGTTGAAGAGTAGACTGAAACGAAAATAGCCAGATGAGTCTCATTCAGTGAGTTGCTGAATGCTATTGTATAGCATGCTATTACAGCGAGGATTTTAAATGTCTAATGCTATTGCTGTTTTCAGGGATCATTATTTGAGCGTCGTAACATGGGTGACAGATGAAAGGATCTGTCTGCAGTGGCTCAGAAGAATTCAGAATTTTTCAGTCCTCACAGTCTGTGACTTTGCAAGTGCTAATGGAAGTTGGTTGTGTCCACAGGTAAGAAAAATGAGGTGGGAGAGTCACAATGCTTGATAAATGAAACTAGAAAGGGGCAGAGTATCTCTGTATGTTTATCTTTGTAGAAACATAGCCTGATGTAAAATAAACATAATTGTTGTGGGATTGTTTGTTTTTTCTTTCTTAGGAAAAACAACGTACGGAAGAAAGTAGAACTGGCTGGATTGGCAGAGTGAGTGTTCAATTTCTAAAACTGCCACATGCTAAATAACACTGATCATTAAAAAAATTTCGTAGGAGCGTCTTGCCGGTCTGATCCATTCACTTGTTGCTTTTTACATGTACAGGAAAAAACAGTCTCAAATAGAGCCACTCTGCTACCTCGCTCCTGGTTTTAAGCTTTTGTGGGTATGGGGTTCTGAACTCCCGGGCTGGGCTGACGGTGCAGCATGGCTGGAGCTGTAACTGCATCCTCTGTGACCCATGCGTTGTATTCAGCTTGCCAAAACCCAGAATACTCCTTCCAGACTCCTTTTTAATTCTGACCTACCACTTCAGTAGCAGTAGGTAGGGGAGTGCAGGAGCCAGGATTCAGAATTCCCTTTGTTCGGGGGGAGTTGTCGGCTATGCTGCTTTGGCTGCTCTCCAGTCTTCCTGCCACCTCCAGAATGATCTAGGTGATAAAATTTATTAAGTGTATCCTATAACCTTTGAATCGTATTGGAGGAAAGGCATAGAGAACAAAAGTAATTTTTAATGTTTCAGGTTGCAGCAAATCATTCCAGGTTCTCCTTGGGGCTTCATTTATTTATTTGTCCCCTCCCGCCCCCCCAGATATCCATTGCAGAGGACTGGCTGGGGGCAAGATGTATATAACTGACCAGATTAAAATTTTCATACACTTCTGCCAAACCAATTGCTACTGTCTGGATGATGCTTTCCAAGCTGCCTCTCAGTCCTTTTGTACATGGTAGAGAGTAGGCACCTAATGAACTACACAGAAGATCTGGGGGAAGTGAAGCAGAGATGCAAAAGTTCAGACTTGGAGGGAGAAATGAGTTTCAGAGTTTTTGATGAGAACACAGAGTACACTTTCCACTCCCGCATTTTCCACACACTGATTATGCTTTAGTCACTAATTCACTTTTGAAGTCAAAAATGAAAGTTTAAAGAAATGCAAAGAGGGAGGCAACAGCAGGGATGAAATCATCCGCAGTATGAAGATGAGAGATCAACCCACCTGCTGTCAAATTTGATATGGAAAGGAAGGCCTTAACGCTGACACATTTTGCTTCTCTGCAGCAAAGGCTTCACAATTAGACAATGTGATGATCAAGCTGCAGACTTTGTAAACAGTTGTGCAAAATGAGAGGGCAAAATGCGAGTCTGTGCCATTAAACTAGGTTGTTGGTTTTTTGTTTCTTTTAAAGAGACAACCCACATCTTAGGAGCTGTTGGAAGAAAAAGATAATCTCACTGTATGAGTCCTGGATTTGAGAAGGGAGTGGAAAGTAGGGAGGATTGAAAAGGGGATAGGAAAGGTATATTTATTCCTTTCTTTTATTCTTATCTACTTAGGGATGGTAAAATGACACTTGACTGATAAGGATTTTTTATATATGTATATTTATTTTTTATATATATATATACACACACACACGAGAGATGTATATATACACATATATATACACAATTCATGTAAGTGTATATACAAATTAAATTATATATGTGTGTGTAAAATACAGACATATACTTCTCTCTTTGTATATGTCTAAAGTGTTTTTTTTCTTTTTTTCAAAAATAGAGATGAAATTACACTTAATCTAAGAATGCTCAGAACAGCCTGTGTTACTGCATAAGGCTTCCAGGTCATGAGCTAAGTTAGAGCTTGCCAGTTGAGTTGAAGGAAAGTCACACTTTGAAAAAGCAAGACTGTGATAAGGGAGAAGCTAGCAAAATATTTGCCAGGTTATTTTTTGCAAAAATATTGCTAGGGAAGAAGGAGAAATTATCTGGAGCACATGGGTTAGGGAGACTCAAGTTGTGTCATTGCTCACTGAGTGACCGGAGGTGAGCCACTTCATCTTTCTATTTCGCTTTCCATTTCAAAAATGGGTGTAACACCTCCGAGATACTGCAGTGTGTCAGTTGGCTAAGTCACCTGTAGAAGTTTTGGACATGTATCACACAAATAACTTTTATTTCATTTAGATCAATTTCATTCCTCTGTTTTTCTCTCTACCATGTGGAGCACATACAAATGACAGTCAGTAGAAGGAATCCATTCATTTCCTTCACTCCTAATTGATAAATGAATAGTTCCATCGTGAAAATATCATTCCAGTTTGGATTCTTTGGTATTCTGTATTCACCTACTTACTAGAAGAATTTGCTCTTGGAAAGCAGCTTGTCTTCTTTGAAAAAAGGGGAAAATTTTCACTGTGAAGCTAAAAAAAATAATTAAGCGTTCAAAGAATTTTTTCACAAATATGTGTTTTAAAATTGGAAATTCAATTAAAACATGTATTCACAAAGTTTACATTGCTATAGGTTACAGCTGCATGTTGGTGTTGGACAGAATAAAACAGTGACTTTAAAAGTAGATGCACATATTGTTTCCTGAAATAGTAGTAAACAAGGAACACTGGTAGGACTTCAGATTCAAGGGAGGTGGGAGTGGACCTGGGTCATTACCAGGGCTAATACTTGGGAAATTCTGCTGCTTAAGGAGGAAGAAAATATTTTAAGTGTGTTTACTTTTAGAATAAAGGCTACAGGTTCTACTTACTAAGTCAATAGGCGAAAATTTTTGCAGTGAGTTCAGTGATGCATTGTTGTTAAGTATTAAAACTCCTGTTTAGAGATACCAAAACCTAAATTTATCATTTTGGTTTTGGAGTTTTCTTGTTTGCTTTAATAGACATCTCTTGTGTGTTCAAGTTTCAGCCATCTGCCCCTCACTTTGCACCCGACAATGCTACCTACTACAAAATCTTCAGCAATACAGAGGGTTACAAGCACATCCATTACATAAATGGTTCACAGGTAAGTAAGAAGGTGTAGGACAGCCACTGCTGACTTGTGTTTCTCCTGGTGATTGACGAGCTTCACATTCTGCTTTTTTGCCTTACCTTTTCTTCCCCCCTCCAGGCTCCAGTACCTATTACTAAAGGAAAATGGGAAGTAATCAGCATAGAAGCTGTAACCAGTAACTTTTTGTAAGTATTGTAATTAAGATATTCCTACCAGGAGAGCTTATAACGAGGGTCTAAGCAAGAAGGGAGGGAGAAGAGGGAGAAGACGTCATTTAACTCATTAAAAATCTGATCTAAATGTGCAAGATAATCCTTTAAATATTGTAAGGTATTTTACCAAAACCAGTATGTTTTGCTTTTATAGATACTACATCAGCAATGAAAACGGTGGAAAGCCAGGAGGAAGAAATCTTTATAAGTAAGAATTTTTTTGCTGCAGTATGAGTAAAATATTTATTAATGAAAAAGAAATTTTAAGAAAAAGCATTGCAAAATAAAAAGCTTACGATGTTTATAGTCTAGTGTGGGATCCTAGATAGGATATTTAATTAAAATCAGTGTAGGAGTATAAACTGTAAAAACAACTAAAATATTTTTCTGTAAATTTAGTTAATAAAGGGAAATTGTGAAAAGAAACAACTGATCCTCAAGCAACAAAACCCTAAAGAAAACTCATGCCTTTTTTTTTTTTTGCTGTGATTATAATTCCAGTATTAATTGAACTCAAACTTTTAAAGTATGCTTTCTCTACTTTTTAAATCAGTAAGGACTTTACTCCTGAATTTTATCATCTTTCATTCGTCATCTTATTTAAAAAGCATACATTTGTTTAGAGTAATTAAAAAAAAAAAAAAAGTCTCTCATCTCTGAAATGAAGCTGGTCTACTTTGCAGAGTACTCTTGGAAAGCAGTCCAATTTCTACTAAATGTGTTAGCTGTGAGCTGCATCAAGAAAGATGCCAGTATTATTCTGTGTCCTTCAGCAAAGACGCACAGTATTACCAGCTAAATTGTCGTGGTGAGTATATCCGGAATTGACATAAACATGACTCACTGATTAGTTGGGTGGGGAAGTTCACTTCGTCAAGATCTTGATATGCACTGCCTAACAATGAGATGTGTTGATATCATTGGATAAATGCATTGGCAGCAGAAAAACTTATTCCCTCTAGGCTCAAAAGCACCTTGACAAAAATTACAAGCATAAAATTTGATAGTTCTATCAGTGGACCCAAAAGAGGTGCAAAACACTCCTGTCCTCCTGTAGAAGGAATCTAGAGGCTCTGGGAGCAAGGCAAGCAACAGGCTGGGTAAAGAGAAGTGCTCTATTTGTGGGAATAAAATGAATACAGATAGTGCTGTTGAAAAAAGCCAGTGAATGTAAGCATAAGTTAAGCAGTGGGACTGTAGTCTGTCTCTGACCTGTAAGTGCTTGTGCTAGATAGTACAAGGGATAAATTAATCAAAGGGTAGGAAAATAAAATCTCTAAAATTTCCCTTAAACTGAAATGTATGTTGTTTTTTAAGATGCCAAGATATTCCCTTGTCTATGGGCTAGAAGGACAGACAGACACCAGAGGGGGAATCATTCTGCAGGTTGTAAAAATGGTTGTTTGAAGAAGACTGCTGCAGTCTCTGTGACAAGGCTTACTGATTTCCAAACCATGCTCCAAGGCCGATGGGTAGACTTTGCTAAAGAGCAGAAGTTCAGTTCTTCAGTACCTCGCAATCGTGTGGTTTGCCTGCGAGACTGAATATTTTATGGGACCCTGTGGCTTGAGTTTGGGTCCTACTAACTTAAAATCCAGCTTGTGCAGACTGGAGGGAAATGAGTTCTGAGCTTTTATGATTCGCCCCCTTCCAGTTGCTTTACGAGAGCAGTGTTTTGAGACAGCATGCAAACGTAAAGGTTTCGTGGTCTATTACAGGTCCTGGCCTGCCCTTATCTACTCTACACAGCAGCAGTGATGATCAAGGTATGGGATTGTCTTAAAATGTAATTTCTGTTGCACTGTAAATTTATTTAAATTTTGGTCTCATTGCTCAGTACAATAATTGTACAAAATGTCAGTTACGGTCAACTTAATTTCGGATAATTACTCCAGTATATTTAATCACAAGAATAAATTATATAGCTTGGCATACGTTTATTCATAGTTTATTTAATGTTATTCTACATTGTGCTAGAAAACAGGGGTAACATATGACTTATTTACTGGATAATTGTTCCGTTTTTCTGAAATTGCATTTAGATGAAAACTGGGGAAACCAGCTTTCTGGTTACTAAATTACTGAAGGAAAATAGTATCGTAAACATTGAATCTGAGAGGAAAAACAAAATCTGCAGTAAACTAAGACGCAATGTAGGTTGCCATCATCTCAGAATAAATTTTTAAAGTGGTTCATAATTAAAGAGCAATGCATTTGAGAAGAATGTATTTAATCTTTGACCCTAACTCTGTTATTTAGTCCTCAGATACTTGGAAAATAACACTGAACTGGAAAATTTATTGAAAGATATTCAGATGCCTTCAAAAACTGTTGCCTCCATTCGTGTAGGTGATTACAGTAAGTTCAAAAACATGTTTTTACCTTTCTCTCCCTCTTTCACCAAGTGCATCAAGGTCTTCTGCTGAAAAACATGAGAGAGAAGATGGGTGTAGTGGGGATTATTGCAGTTATTCAACACTTAGAGGCAAGACGAGATTTTTTTTTTTTTGACATCTCCAAACATTCTGGGTTTTTTTTTGAAATCCCAAAATATTCTTATCTAAAATACGCTTTTTTTTTCCCTAGTATGATATCTTGATGTTTTCATGATGAAGTGTCTTAACTTCTTTTTTTCCTTGATAATTACCTGTAAAACAGAAGTCCCTAACATCACATTAAATAAATAAGAGGAATGGGGGGTGGGGCACAAAGCTCATAAGCATTGTTGAATTTAAATTAAACTGTAAATTCAAGTAGGTCTTAATTTACAGGTACAAGTCCCTTTGATTTGTGTTAGCAGGTTGGGACAGTGGAGGACAAGTTCAGTTATTATCAAAAAACGGACACAGAATCTAAATGGAAGAGCTTGCAAAATCATTTAAGCTACATTTCAACGAGATCACCTTTGACTTTGTGTAGGGGAATATTCGGACTGAATTACCATGTTCTTAAAAGCATGTTCATGCTCCAAGGCTACAGAAACCTCTGAACACAGACTAGAATGAAATGCTAGAAAATGAACTGCTAATGCTTTGCTAGTGGTGCTCCTCCAGATTTGCACACCTGGGTATGGCAGCTTTCTCGGTGTGCTCCAAGGCTGAGGAACATCAGATAGAGTGGCAGTGGGAGGCCTGGTACCTGTCTAAACTGTTTCTTGCTTTTGCCTTTGCTACTAGCTTTTCTCTTCATGACAACCTTCCTCTTGATAGTATGAATGAATATTCTTAATGGAATTACATTTTACAAACTGTACTGAGTTCTGTCAGTCACTGTTGACTGTTCTTTTTGATGCCTCCCTCCTTCCACTGTTACCTTATTTATATAATAACTCTCTTTATCTTTGTGTTTTCTATCTTTTATTTCTGTCACGTTTTTACTAGGGCTAAAGATGAAATCTTCCAGACAAGATGGAGATTTAAAGATGTTCTTCGTGCTATCAGTTGTATATTCATCTTTTTATTCCTCTTTGTTCTTACTACTTCATCTCTTCAGGGTAAAAGTTTTGGGGTAAGGGGAATCTATTTTTAATATCACAAATAGGAGAAATAATTCCATTTATGTAGTCCTACTTCAAGTTTCAATTCTGCTCACACATCGGTGTATGTTACCGAAGAAGAAATCAGCTCCCATGACTACAGAGTACACAGATTATGAAAAAAACTAGAATTAGTATTTTCAAGTGTTCAATTTAGATTGCTAACTTTTCAGTGTTTTAATGTATTGCATATTCATTCCTGGACAGCTTGCTATAAGACTTGCGCTCTGGCTATTACTGCAGTGCAGTCCATCAGCATTGCTTCATGTTTCCTCTGCAGCGTCAGTTCTTTTAAAATTCCTGAGTGAACCTTCAAGCCAATTGGTTTGCAAAATTTACATGGTGTGCATTTAAAATGTTCAGCTAACTCTCAGCCAACTTGGGTGGAAAGAGTAACATGGATGGAACCGGAATCAATGTTGCTTGAGAAATAATAGGTATTTGGATATGTTTCTGGGATGCTTTACAAACTGTCATGCAAACTGTATCTGACAGGTTCAAAATAGTTAAAATTTCTTTTTAGTGCTGGGAAAGAAATTTGAGTACAGAAACATTTTTGAGCTAGTGTCAGATTTACCACTGTAGAGACTTACCAAGTTTTACACGCAAGCTTATAATGTAGAATAATGTTACGAGACAGCATGTTGAGTCCCCAAATTTTATTATTATTGTAGACATTTCAGTTCCAGACTTTCTGCAAACTTAGCTGTAAAACATTAACAAAAAATTTACTAGATTAGCTAGGAACTTTTACCTGTATATATTAGGACAGTTCAGATGAAACTACTTAAATTTTTAGGGGGTGACTCTTCTGTTTGAATTGTATGAATTGCAATGCATGTCAAATTATTTCACTGGAGAACTGACCTACGTCAAACTCTTTTCACTTTTAGACCTGTGGTATCAAATGATACTGCCTCCCCATTTTGATGCATCAAAGAAGTACCCTCTGCTACTTGATGTGTAAGTCTCCAAGTTGCATGGCAATGTTGTGTTAATAATCGCTTTCATCTACTTCAAATGCTCTTAATAAGATAGGGAGTCACGAAACTGGCATGTGTTCTAATTACTTCTTGAGGTAGTTTTAAGAAGGAGTGAAAAAATTAGGTGTATCCCAATTTGTGATGGATTCCTGTACTACAAGATGATGTAACACTTAACAAGCACACATTTTGCTCGTGGCAGTGAGGCAGATACGTTCTGTATCTGACTTAAAAGCCAGGATGTTAGCGTTAGCTTACTGCCTTCTCTGCCCTTAGGGTTCATTAGGAATAATACTCAGTGAAAGTACAGTCCAGAATGAAACCTTGAATAAGCAGCGCATCCTAAAGCTGGAGTAGTGAGTGTGATGTTGCATTTTCTCTGTGATACCTGACTGTCAGCTGGTGTTGGCAAACTGCATTCTGTGGTCAGGATTGCATTTGCTGGTTTTTTCGTAAGCTCAAGACCATGAGTACGTGCCTTTTGGTCCGTTCTTCCTCAAGCATGTCTGTTCATGCTGGTGTGTTTTCTTCTAACTGGAAATTACTGAAATTTAGCTATTTGTTAAAATAGAAGTGTTAACCTTTTCCTCTTTTTACGAAAAGCTTGACTCCACAAGGACACAGCTGTTAATTCTGATATGTCTTCATGTAATGTAATTTGGTAGCACTGCAATACTTTTAGATATGCCTATTGAACATTAATGAACAGTCAGTGCTCTTTGCTTGTTAAGACTTATTTTGGGGTTGATTCTGTTTTTATGGACTCGCCTGGGCCTTTGTCAGGATTACCTCTGCTTCATGGTGATCTTGATACCAGAAATTCCTTTAGCAGTGTCAGGATCTGTGGTGTATAGACATACAGCTTGCGCTAGAGAATTCCTAGTTGTTTTTTCTTTGCTTTTAAAATGGGGAACAATGGGTTATAGAGCCAGAAGGGATACTCTTTCCGTTTCTTACTCTGTTGAACAGTGGCTAGAGAAGTGCACTGCAAACACATCCAGGCAATTCCAGTGTGATTTCGTAGTGCTCAGGTGCTTCTGAATATTTTAAAATAAAAAGTTATGATTACAGTTTCGCTTCCTTTTTCTCAGCCTGCATAAGAAACACTTTTAACTGTGGGGAACACTGATGGGACACCTAAAATGCAGAAAAAGATCTTTTTCATTTTCCCAGATGAAGGCTATTTGTTGATTTCAGACTTGAACCACATAAATCATGGGTAAATTGAACAGAAATAGTTAAAGAGCATCACTTTGAAACTTAGATGGCTAGATATTTTTAGGAAAAACTTCTTCACTGAAAGGGTTGTCAGGCTCTGGAATGGGCTGCCCAGGGAGGTGGTAGAGTCCCCATCCTTGGAGGTATTTAAAAGAAGGATAGATGAGGTGCTTAGGGACATGGTTTAGTGGTCGGGTGGCAGGGTTAGGTTAAAGGTTGGACTCGATGATCTTAAAGGTCTTTTCCAACCAAAGCGATTCTATGATTGTATGATTCTATGATTCTATATGCCAACACAAAAAAGAATTTGGTTTGGATTTCTGATAAGCCACTTAAAGTCAGAATAACGGAAGTTTCTTATTAGAGCAGAAAGCAATAAAAAACCCAAAATCGAGTCTCCTTTCTTGATTAACAGCTGATGTTTTAAAAAAGCATACTGTTTTTAATGTCTGCAAAGCAGCAGTTTGGAGTCAAGTCAGTGATGCTTTTCTTCTCTGCTCAGTTTAAATTAAAAGTTTATCCTTCTTTAGCGGCTGAGAATTGTCAGCAATAATTGTATCTCAAATGCGTGATGCGAGAGTATGTGGAGAGTAAATGCCTGAATTCTGTGGCACTTTTCACCCAGGTACGCAGGACCCTGCAGTCAGAAAGTAGATTATACCTTCCAGATCAACTGGGCTACGTACCTTGCAAGCACCGAGGAGATCATTGTGGCCAGCTTTGATGGCAGAGGAAGTGGATACCAAGGGGATGAAATTATGCATGCAGTAAACCGAAGGCTGGGAACATATGAAGTGGAAGATCAGATAGCAGCAGCCAGGTGAGCTACAGTGAAATAGTCAACACTTGCTCCTTCTTTCTGTGCTTTTTGTGTAGGGGGAAAAAAAGGTGAAGGTTTTGAATGGTCATCTTGAAATTACTGGCAAAAGCATAACTAAATTCTACATCAATTTTGTGTGCTGAAGTGTGTCACTTATGGGCCAGCCATCATTTTATGCTTAAAAAGAGAGAATTCTGAGCTAATGCTGTAATAGCAAATTTACCATATCCCTGGTTTTATAGAGATGATAGCAGTCACATTAGTAGAAGAGTATGCAACCAAGGAACTTGGAGCTGTAAGTTTTACTCCAAGCTTTTTGCAAGTTTCTTTATGATAGAGTTGTTTATATGAACTATCCAGCCTTTAAATCATAGTGCATCTTCATCACTTGGTTTATGCTTGTAGAATCTCACTAAACCGAACGATGTCAGTATGAATCTCTCAGAATCACAAAGAAGTGATCTTACAGGGTTTGCTTCAGGGGATTTTAAAATGTTCAGGAGTTTAAGCAAATAGCATTTCAGAATCTTCTTTTTAAACCCTGACTGGATTTACAGGTGTCAGCCTGTCCCTTACTGCCGCAATCTGAGTATTGTTCCTTTTCCTTAAAAAAAGAAAAGGGGATGGACACAAAGAAAAAGGCCAGGCAGGTGGTGAAATCTAACCTAATACAGTATGTCAGCGAGTGTGGTTTGAGGGCTTTTACAGACCGTCCAGGTTTTGGTTTTTCACATGCACAGACGTTTTTCTGAATTCCTTAAAAACACGCAAGCCTGAAGTATTGTATGGTTCCATATGCAGTCACTGTGATGGAGTGGGAAATGCTTGTTTGTACGATAGAAAGAGGCAGACGTGATGGCAAATAGGCACGTCTGTATAATGGCAGCTACCTGCAATCCATCAAGCACTTAATTATTCTGTTTGCTTTTAGACAATTTTCTGAAATGACCTTCGTTGATAAGAAAAGAATAGCTATTTGGGGTTGGGTAAGTACTCAAATAAGTTTGGCTGGCTTATTATTTTACTGTAACAACTATTTGTTGTGCTGCTGTGTGCGTGAGATGCTGGAGCACTTAGTGTGAGGAGCCTCTGGGGTCTCGGCACGGTCCCATAACTGCACAAATGAAGTACATCTGGCAAGTGCCTGTATACATTGTCCCTTTGCAAGCATTCAGGAGGCTCTGAAACAGAAATTAGGACTACTAGAGGGATTTAAAACAATTTAAATGGAAACTTTCAAGTTACTATGTACAAGATTAACCAATATTTAAAAAACAAAATCCACTATATAGATCCAAAATACATTCACTACTGTCTCTTTGTATTAGTTGGATATTCTTAATTTAAAAAAAAAAAAAAGTAAAACTACATGTGAATCAGCTGCGTGGCACGGTGGTTGTGTTTTTACTAGCAGCCTGAAAATATCTAAATCTGCTGTACTGTTGTGCTTGGCTACATTTTAATTCAGCAGTACTTCCAACCAGAGGCCAGATTTCTCTGATGTGTCTTTAAAACCTGTCAGAGTAGAGGGGAGTGTTTAACAGCCTATACATATCCCCTCAGCTGCGAGGCCAAGTGCATATGCAGTGTTAGTGATACCTATTTGATGCAAACACTGAACGTTTCTCTGTCCCAGGCTGCTGTTTCACTGCTTTTTCTGGTGTCATGGGGAGTGTTCTTGCATGCCCTGTTTAAGTGTACTATGTTTAAGTATACACAGGATTGTATGCAGAATCTTCAATTAAATTCCTAGCTGAAATTTGGTCACTGCGGGTGTCAGGTGCCAATGAATAAATTGCTTGATGGCAAGATGATGATGATGGTGCCTTTAGTAGCTTTTCTTGTGGGGATAAACATCTCTGTGTTGTATGAAGTCAAGTGTAGTAGTATTACCTTTAGTGGGAGGGAAATTCTTTCTACAGGAATGGAGGACTTAATGCATTCCCATCTTACTACTGAAGAGCTTCAGGATGAATAGCTGAAGAGCAGTCCTTCTTGGAGCTAGGCTGGGATTGTGCATCCTGGGTACTGAACCTGTGGGCAAACAGGTTTTCTTAATCTCTTGAGTTTTCAGATTATCAGTGTCTCATTGTCAGCCTGTCACTATGTACATTAATTTTGTTTGCTCTAGGTTCGGCAGCAACATCTTTACCATGGCCAGGTTAGGCAACATGGGTTTAATTATTAAGTACATGCATTACTTTGCTGATCTCATTGGGAGGACCTAAGTATTGACATTGGAGCAAACACTTCAGGGCTTTGAACTAAGATACAGTTCCATTTGCCTGTAATCTGGTTTCAAGACAGGAATAAGATCCAAAAATTGCTTTTCTTTTTGAATGTGAGTGGGCACATTTTCCTAAATAACCCCTTCAAGCTAAAGTGAGGGCAGTCATTTGGGCAGTCAGTGACATTGTTTAGGTATCTTGCTGCCTGGATGCTCCAGCGTGTCAGATATTTACTCATCTGTGTATCAGGCTAGGCTGCGAGTGGATCCTCCGTGCATAGCAAGGAGTCTGTTGCTGCACAGTTCCTCCCACAGGCTCAGCAGAAGATCCTTCGCTCCCCAGTCACGGTCTTGCTCTTGACACTTTGGAGGAGAGTTAGCAAGTGAGCTGCCGTAGGCCTGCTCCGAGGGAGTTGTAAATTTTCAGATGCCCTGGTGCAACTACTCATCAGGCACGTTGTGGGCCTGAGCTCTGCTTCCACCCACTCCCCCAGCACGGAGAGGGACACAGTGGGTCAGCAGTGTCTTGTTTCCCGTCTTTCGCTGCTGCCTACGGTGCCACCAAACACTGTCATCCTTAGCTGAGTCACAGTTCAGCGGTGTTGGCGCCCCTTTTCCCCAGCAAGTTCCCATTCATCAGCGCCACAGCTGCCACGCGCTGTTTGGTGCCGGTTTCCCCCACTGAGCAGGCTGGGTGAGATCTGACCCAAATTCAGAATGGAGTTCATTAATATGAAAAACGCTGAGCCTATAAATGTCTGATGAACCGTTCAGCAGATGGGCCCCATCCTCTTCTTCCCGACTAAAATAACAGCAATGTTTTCTTCTCAGTCTTATGGGGGATATGTGACCTCTATGGTGCTTGGCTCTGGAAGCAGCGTGTTCAAGTGTGGAATAGCGGTTGCCCCCGTGTCACGTTGGCAATATTATGGTATGTGATGGCTTCCTCGTTACAAGGATTCCCATATGTCTTGCAGTGCACATGCTGCAAAGTGTTGATTCATAGCGCAGAACTTTGATTATCTACTAGATGCCACGTAAATGCCACTTGGTCTGTTTTTATGAACTCATGGGTATTGCATTTCAGAGTTAAACCAATTCCCTAAACCTGATTTCCCATTTTAAAAAGTCAGATCCACAATTCCAGGTAATCTCTTTAACATTTAATGGAGGCTAAATTATTGTAATATTTGTAGTATTACTGTAATGTGTCTGTGTTCGCTTTCCAAAGCTGCCACGTGTTCCAAGACCAGTATCGTGTGTCAGAAATCCATCGCTATTGGACTTTGCTTCTTCAAAATGCTACTTCATTTAAAAGAATGAACTGTGAGGCTTAACATCAAACTTAGATTGTAATTTACTCTCTCAAAGTAACAGAATAGGATTTGAAATGCCTTCGGTTTTTTTTTTCCCTTTTAGAGCTTAAAATTTGGATTTTATAAGTCTAATTAATCTTAAGAATAGCTTGATATGAGGAAAACCTAAACAAGTGGGCAAGTCTGTACGTGCTTCAAGCTTATAGTGTGTCAGGTTGTAGTTGCATGAGGCTGTAAGTACAGTTATAGGGGCCCCCCTCCCAGATGAAAAAATTTATATATAGTTATAATATGTGCTGGTACAATGTGACCACATTTTGACATTTTTCTGGTTTGGATTTGTCCAAAAACACTTGAAGGAAAGCTTTCCCTGGCAAACCTCTGCTAAATAAGGCATAATTTATCATCCTGCATCTAGCACAGGGGCTGTGTAATAGTGTATTATGTGCTCTGGCTAATTCAGCAGCTCAAATCATACTGCCAGGTATTAGCAGGAGTCTCTTGAGGACGTAGGGATGTTTTTGTAATGTTTGGACATGAATATTACAGTATGGCAGGAAATAATTTTTTAATGAAGATCAGGAGCTCTAAAATTCCACTTTTAGTTGATTAGATAAAGGAAAGGGTTATGGAAGCATATTCAACATTAAAAAAACCCCATGTGATGAGGCTGATGAGAAGTCAAATGGACATTAGAATATGGCAACAGAGTGTCGATTTGTATGGCTTAAAATAAAGCGAATCTGCAAAAAAAAAAGTGGTATGATACCGTGCTGAAAAATCTGTGGAAAATCAGAGATACCTAATTTTTACTACATATAACAGAGCCAAGCTGAGTCCTAATCTACTGCTACATTTTCATTTTATAGATCTTTAGCAGTAAACATTTAGATAAAATATCTAAGATTTTCTCAACTGTGTCATATAGTCATTTACTGCAAGATTTTCAGTAATTATCTTAGGATTACTGGAAGAATAACAGTAAGGTAACATTGACACAAAGTACTTGATTAATATTCAGCATTCAGGTGTCCATGGCAACAAGAAGATTAAATATTCTGAATAATGATGGTTACCTACACGCCTCATTGTGGAAAACCTGGCTTTATCTTTTGTTTTCCTTTTTTTTGGTGGTGGTTTTTTTTTTTTAATTTCCTGTATGCTTCCTTATTGTTTGTATTGGTGGGTAAAATTTCTGGTAGACAGACAGACTGAAAATTAAGTAGCATATTCTGATTTTAGTTTTGGTTTGGTTTTTTTTTTATTATTACAGATTCAATATACACGGAGCGATACATGGGCCTTCCTATAGCAAGTGACAATCTGCAAAACTATAATGTAAGAAAGAAATTGCTTTATTTCTTTTTTTTTTTTTGAAGTGGGTTGTTGCTTTTCTAAACCACTCTATTTTTCTCTATACAGCCTAAGTTCCTTCCCTGTGAGAAGAAATAAGTTTGTTTCTTCGTTCCAGCTATAACTGTTGCATTGTGCTTTTAGGGGCTGTAGTCTCATGCATTTGGATTTGCGTGAGGCAGTTACGCCTTGCTGTATGGTGTGGGTTTTCTGTTGTTTGTTTGGTGTGTTGAGTTTTTGGGGTTTTTTTTACGTTCAGTTCCATTTGGCTACTTTGTAGACTGTAAAACAAGCTGTAAAAACGGTTTTATTTTAATCACCAAGAAACAAATTTGTTTTAAAATTTAATATGCTCGTGGGCAAACTATGCTTTCTCTTAAACAACGTTTCCAACAAAACAAATGTACTCCAGCTCTTTCTGAATTGGAATCTAAAATAAATGGGTATTATGTGAACTTCCTTGCTTTAGGAATCTGCAAGCTTTTTCCAGGGAAAGCAAAATCCTCTAAATATTAGGAAACTTTGACAGGTAGGCAAGTCGCTGTGATCATATCAAACAACTTGCAGACCAGCTGAGAGCCAGCAGTGCCAGGGCTGGCATTTTGGCCCCACCTCCAGGAACACAGGGTGTCCACGGCTTGGTCTAAAATGACCAATGTTTGCCCAGAAGCGGGGGGATTTCCAGGTGTTCTGATGGGAGCAAAATACCTGTAGAGCATTTGTCCTCATTACAGCACAATGGATTGTTTAACTTTTAGTTGCCCCAGGGGCTATTTGAAGCCACAGGTAGTAGGGCAGAGCAGCCCAAGCCTTCTGTAAGGTTTTGTTAAATTTCAGACCTAGGTGGAAATGGAGTGGCTACTGGAGAACTGTGAGGGATCCGAGGGGTACTTTAGGCACCAGTTATTGGGATGTTTCACAGAGGCGTTCGGCCATGGTGATGCTGGAACCAAACATGGATGTCAGAGGAAAAGAGATTGGGCGTTTTCTGTGACTGGGCTGGTAAACCGGCTAGAAGTTCAGCACTGATCGTGCCTTGGTGCATTAAAAAAATAAGTGTTGTCGGGGGAAAAAAGGGTTGGGGGTTGTTGCATTTATTTAAAAGCATGGTAAAGTATATAAATACATACAGCACACGTCTGTTTTGGCACATCGCTGCAATATTCTAGTTTGGTCAACTGCTGTATCAGACGTTCTGGTCAGAACTGAGGACAACGGTAGTGAGCGCTGGGAGACTTGGTGCGGCGCCTGCCTCTTCCCCGCAGCGAGCTGCTCGGGCCGCGGGGACTGACCAGCAGCCTGCAGCTGCCCGCCTGCCTTTTCCCAAACGTGTTTCTTTAAGGCAGTGGGAACAGTAGGAGGTCTGCGAGGTAGCAGTGTAAATAGAAGTTACTGTCGTTGCGCAGAACGAACGTTAACGCTCTGGGTGCACAAAGTCATTCACCAGCTTCACGGCACAGATGGCAAGAGAGGACTGTTTAATCCTTTCAAGCCAGGAGTCGGATTTTCTTGGCATAGTATCCACTGCTGGCAATGGCCACGTTGAAACTGCCAGTACCAAAGAGCTAAAGGTTTCAAATGTGTTACTCGGAGGACTAATTGGGGAGAATGGTGGCTAGATGGAGGAGGGGTAATTGCACAGATCAGCTTGTCACACTTCACTGCTGCTTCTAGAGACAGGAAAATGCAGCTCAAATCCTCATTCGCTGTTAAAAGCCCCAAATAATTTATTACTGCGAATTTACTTTTCCATATAAACCTGGAGGGGTGGGGTAGCTCAAGAAGTGAGTTTGTTGCTTTTCATGTAGCGTCAATGGAAGGGTTGTGGGATTTTGTTGTTGCTGAAGGACCCTTACTGACTTCAGCCCAGCGTGTTTCTGGCTTACAGCCCCTTTGTTCAGTGTCCCAGTAGCCAGCCTCCTGGCCCCTTACCGCCGCCGAGAGCTGTTTTCTGAACTGAATGGTTTTTAGCAAGTAAATGCAAAACATGTACTGAAAGCTCTCCTAAGCTGAAGCTGTTAAAAGCATTTTTGAACTGTTAGCTTCGTACTGTCAGGTTTGCATGCTGCATCATACGGTCTCTACCCTACTGCATCCGCCATAAAGCTGGCTTGGAAAGTGAAAGGTTGCATCGAGTCTGTACTGTGTGCCCCAATTTAAAAGAAAGGGGACTGTGTGCACACCTGCTCAGAGAAGACACGTGCTGCTAGGGCGCCTTCCTAGTGCGCAGAGTGCATTAATGATGGAGAATATCCAGTCTTAAGAAACTACCTGTGGTAAGAGAGGTGCGCCCTACCTTTGTAGTACTGTGGTTAGGTTTCACGTTTATTGAAGGAAGAGAATCTAAGACGCTAAATACTCTTTTGCCAAGAGTCCAGTCTGAGGCATGACTCGCACTCTTCTACGTAGGCTAATTAGGTGTGATGAGTGGCTTTTAAGGTAGGTATGGACTATTAAAAATTAGAGCTTTGTAAAAGAAAGGAGCAAGCATGGGTGGAGCTCCCAGTATAACTGCATAGGGATCCTAGGCTGAGTGGCAGAGCAGCCGTCTGCCCAGGAAGAAACGTCCCTGATGTAAAAGCCTTGAGATGGAATCAGGGCAGAGCTCTAGAGGTCAGGCGCAGTAGCCATGCAAAGCATACCGAAGAGACTGTTCAACTTGTGAGAAGATTATTTTGCAGTTCACTCTGAATTTGATATGCTTTTGGCAAGTGTTTGAAACAGTCATAGATTTGGCAATCTTTTTCTAGCAGATTTGAAATGTTCAGTCCTTAAGAACTGCTGCATCATTAGGTTATGCAAAACAGGGTACAATTTTGTAAATATGCCATCTTGTACTGATTTGACATTTGTTCTATTATCTGAGAATATGCTAAAGGGAGAGAGACCTTCAGTTTCAGCCAAACCTTAACTTGTTTGTGGAGCGCTGATAAAATGTTGACTGCTGTGTGATCTTTAGAAAAGCCAGTTACGCTCAGCAGGGCCCAGTTCTCAGCCGTCATACACGTTACCTTTTCCAAACCTTTGTCCCGGCAGCGGGGCCATGAAGTGGAAGGGGTTAATCAGGCTGTATTTATTTGCTGTCCACTCGAGCATTGTTCAGCTGATGTTGCTGTAACCGTGCCTAACTGCAGATCTTGCAGCCACCTTTTTGGCAGAAGTCCGTGTCCTTAAAGCATGTTTTAGGGAAGGGACTCTTCAGGTTGACTGTGGGTACAGCAAGTGAGACATCTCTTGCAAGGGACAAAAAAACCCTGAGAAAGTCTCTCGCGTGTGTGTTCCTTCTTTGTGAAGTGACAAAGATATAAAAAAATAGTGACATCCTTTTTCTAAAACTGCTTTTGGAAAGTCGCGGTCTCGGAAGCGTAGGTCAGGTCAGGCTTCCACTTGAAGGTTTGCTGTCCCTTAAACCAGCACCAATTTGCTGGAAGAAAGCTTATAAAGGTGATCTATCAAGTCCCCCTCTGCACATGTGGAAAATGATTCACTCAAAGGCTATTGCTTGGTTCTTGTTCTTTGTCTCTCCCCACTGGGCCATTAGTTTCTGAATCGTTCTTTTGGTTGGGTGCTGTACCAGTGCTCCTCACTCACTCAAAGTTCTCTCTCCAGATTTTGGCACTCTCATAACTGTCTGTTCTTACTCCCTGATACCAGCTCGTTTCAAGGGATAGTGCCATGCTTCCAGTGTGCATGCATTTCCATATATTAGATGGGATTTCTGGTGCTCTGCAGCCGTTCACTGCCAAAAGAGGGCAATTGCCCTGTTACGGATCGCAGGGTGCTTTTTTCTCACTGCTGAACTTGTTTTTTAAATTTGGTTGAATAACTACAAAGAACTCATTCACTTCTGAGAGGGCTGTGGTATGCTATTCTGCCATAACAAAAGGAATTTAATATTTATACTTGCTTTAAAGATTCATGAGTGTACAAGAGACATAAGGAAATAAGAACACTTCTGTGTCTTGGTAATACCATGTATTGGACTTTTTGAGGGTACTAAATGCAAATCCCTGTGCAAGGGTACAGCTTTAGTACAGGGGGCGAGAGGGGGGAGAACCAAAACAAACCACCACATTCTTTTATTCCTAATTTTTACTATCTTTTTCCTTGCCATAGTAACTTTTAAGCTGCTGTAATATAGAGAAAAATTCCACAGGGATTCAGTCATTTTCAGCAGAGAACCCCTATAATATTACTAAAAGAAGGAAATTTTGTTCAACGTATTTTTGCCCTGTTATGCTGGTTGTCTTTATCAAGCCTGAGCTGTCTTGGTTTGGCCCTTCTTTCTGCTGTCATGGCAGAGCACGGTCCTATTCCCTTTCCTTTCCCAAATGAAAGATCTTACCTGCAATCCTTCCTTTCCTCATTTTTCAGTACCTAGTCACAGTAGAAAGTCAGGGGGTTAGGATGTTCTAGGGAATATGTTGTTAATGGTTTTTAAATTTCTTGATTAATCTTAGTTGCTGACTATTTTTTTTCATCACCGTATTGTGTTTCAAGTCCCAAAATGTGGCTTGACTTCTATGTAGACTTGGGCTGGGGGTTTTTCCTTCAGGCATTTCTGTATCGTGTCTGGGGGACAGCATTGTTTTAAGCTCCTGGCAGACATTTTGGTGGGGAAGATAACGCATGTGGTCTCTGCAATAGCTGCGCCTCGCTACCATAGGGTGCACTGTTGCCATGGTAACATTTTTTTTAACTTGTCTGCAGTTGCACAGGAAACCTATGGCAAGTGGTGTGCTGCAGGCTAACAACATGTTAGCAGTGCATTAAATGTGTATCTCACTTGCAAAACTCTTCCCCTCTGGAATTGCCTGTTACTTTGCAGACGTAACCCTTGGTAATGACCGCAGCCCGGTGCAGAAGGGTTTGAGTGCGAGCGCGGTGCTGTTGGATACGTCAAGATGCTACGTGGGGGCACGGGGGGAGCAGGGGTGGCTGTTTTGACCTGACAGACCCCAGACTCTGTCAACAGGAATCAAAGTCAGTTGGTAGCAAATCGTCTTCTAACAAATAGCACCTTTTTTCTTTTTTTTTTTTCCTTTTCTTTAATTTCAGAATTCAACAGTAATGGCCAGAGCTGAAAAATTCAAGGAAGTTGAGTATCTCCTTATTCATGGAACAGCAGATGGTGAGTTGCAGTTAATTAGACATTTTAGTATTACAGACAGGTTCGCAATTCTACTACTGACAAAACAAAAGCATGAAGGGGCAAGGCTGTTACATCTACGTCAAAAAAATAATACGGCTTTCTGCAACTAATTTGTGTTTCAGTCAGCAGTGCTGGGGAGTCTTCTGTGTTCGTTGGTTCGCTTTTCCCCCAGAGTAGTACAGAAGCAATTTTTTGTTTACCTTTTGCCTCTTTTTTTCTTCCACTTTTCAGATAATGTTCACTTCCAGCAAGCAGCACAGATTTCCAAAGCTCTTGTTGATGCTGAAGTAGATTTTCAGGCAATGGTATGCTTCTGTTTTGTTTATCATTGTACAAATGGGTTTGTATTATGAGAATAATAGCAAAAGCTCGCTGGTGTTGGGTATAAATCAATTGCCATCTTAAATGAAAGCTCACACACTTGCATTTCATGTTCAGTAACTGTAATTTTAACATAACGCACCCATGTCTCTTCTGTACAAGAAAAAATGTAAAGCAACTCCTCCTATTTGACCCTGTTTACCTAATCATTCATTTGGTTAATTTTTCTGCATTCAGACAAACAGCCAAGCCAATCCTAATCTTTGCATACACCCAAAGTCTGATGAATAGTATCTTACAGCTAGGCTATAAGGAAAGGTTACCTTCAGCTAAGTCCAAGATAACCTGTCCATCACTTCTGGTGTTTCTGTATTGAACTTGTAAGTCAAGTAGTTATCATCTGCCCCTTCTTATGCTCTATGTGGAAACTCTTCAGACCAATGTGCAAGCTCTTCCTTTCCTGCCTTCTCCCAGCCCTGGGGGGGCAGTGCTGAAAAAGGATAAAGTAGAGACAGAAGCCCTGTGCACCAGTGCATGGTTCTCCTGCAGTCAAACTTGCAGGGCTTACAGCGTGCAGAGATCAGGCACCCCTGAACTGAGGAGCTGCATCTACCAGGCGTGTGGACAAGCCACATATTCATTTTGTACTTTTAGCGTGAATAGATGGTGTATCCCCCACACAGAGCAGGGACAAAACTCTCATAGCAGCTTCCTACCACCATCATCTCTTTGCCTCCATGCTGAATTAGTCTCATGCTGGGATAATTTTAAACATCTGCACTTTTTTTATGTCTTACCACGTTTGATTTACATGATTTAGCTGTAGCTAGAACTAACCTCTGTATTTTTCTTTCCCACAGTGGTATACCGACAAAGACCACGCCATCACCGGTCAAGCGCATAAGCATATTTATACCCACATGAGCCATTTCATAAAACAGTGTTTCTCACTGCCCTAGCACCAGCACTGTGGCTGATGTTCGTGATGGTGCTGCTCCAGAAAACTCTCTCGCTAATGTACACTGAGCCAGTATAAACTTTTATGAATCAAGATGAGCTAAGGGGCAGTTCTTGGGGTACCTGTGTACACAATGAAATGCTAAGCTTTATAATGATTTCTGTTGCCAAGCAACTATTACATTTTTATTGATTGTCTTTAATCAGGACTTAACATCACCAGAATGCAGGTATGTTGCAGACTTCTAAAATGTATGGTACTCGCTTGAGTCAGTACCTTCTGATAATTCAGCCTAGAAGAGAAACAAACAGTCCCGTTTCTATAGTAGGGTAATGAATGATGAAAATGCCACAAAAACCAGTGTGGAGATCATTTGAGGAATAAAAATAATAAGGTTTTCAAAAAAAAAAATTTAAATTAACCCTGTCATCATTTCCATGAAAATACTGCTAAAACTTTGACCAGGTTTTTGCAGAAATGACCTAATGCTTGATCAATTATTATTTTAGAAACATTGTCAGGAACTATTTGCTATGCAGAGTGAAACACTTTGTTTACCGCAGGTCTTGAGTTAGTATTTTCTCTGCAATGGCTTGGATTACGGTTATAGAAGTCTTGCAGGGAAAGCGTGTAACCAGCTTTCACCAAAGATTTTGAATAATACCTGTTCAAACCTATGGCACTGAATTTCTTTGTTCCCTACCATAGTACTGTGATTTTTTTTGCTTACTTTATAGTTAAAAGAGGGCTGCTACTGTGGGAATCTGCACTGGTAAAAATCTTATCTGGGAACTCTAGCAGCCCACCCCGTTTTATTACGGAACAGCAAGTTTTGGGTGTGGGGTTTTTTTGCGGTTTCCTATTTACTGATGAATGGGATCTATTCCTTGCACTCAAACATAAAACATGACAATGCAAACCAGCAGTGACTTACTTAAAGCAAGGGCTGGACTGTAACGCTCACGTGAACGGGCTATTTGGCAAACCTGCTTTTCCCTGCAGCCTGCTTTATCTTCAGCACTCCAGGTAGGCTTCTCCATCTGAAGATCAGATCAATGTTCTTAATTTTACATAGAAAAGCTGCAACCCACTTGTACTACAAACTGTGCTGCTTTAAAATAATAAAGACATTAAGTTATGAAAGGAGCTGTAGTCCATATCATTGAAAATGCTGCTCAAGAAACAAACCCCTAGAGTTTTACAAAAAAAAAATCCATTAATTTTGAGAGACTCCCAGTGAAGTTTCTGCCTTTGTTTAACGGTACCATGTAATGGAGTGTGACATGATTATCTAACACTTAGCTTCTTGATATTAGATGCCAGCATGTGATTATGTATATATTCTGGGTTATTAGTGACATTAGGTGTGAATGCAAAAGTACTCGTACAGACAGCTAAAGTACACGGGAGATGAGGGAGAACGACAGGACAGTTTGTGCAGCTTGTCCTTAGAAAGAGAAGGGAGCCTGAGGCGGAAAATAAGGTTTTGGTTTCACAAATGGACCAAAGCCACTTTGACTCACAAAATAAGGGTTTTTTTGAGAAACAAACTGGAGATGGGTATTACAAATAACAGAATCTTGGGCTTAATTCATTAGTGGCTTTAATGTAGACTGGTGCCACTGTTAGAGTCCTATAGGATACAGGCTGTTAGTTGGCTCCAAGAGGTTTTAGTGGCCATGGCTCTGAATCTTTTGACTCAAGGGAAAGAAACATAAATCAGTATAAAGGCAGATCACAGCAATGCAGGTAGATAGGTTATAAAAAAGATGATCATTATGAACGTCTAGATGGCTTGTGTATGCAAGGGGCAAACAGTTGGGGTTTCTTTGGGGGAAGTGTGGTGTGTTTGTTTTTTTTTAATGTTATCGCTCATGCTGTCATATAGACAAAAAAAGTATCTCTGGAATCCAAAAGACTACATTAACTAGGGTCTTATACTTATTAGAGAACTACAAGTATTCCCTTAGTCTAATCAGAGAAGCATTAAAAAAAAAAAAAAAGCACTTTTAAAATAAAACTAAGTAAGCCTTTCATTAAGTAAAGATGCAATTCCTTATATCTGACCTACCTTACTGATGCTAGCATCTCACTGGGAAGCTCTTCTGTACACTCAATACATAGTCCTGTTTTAACTGTCTTATCCATGAGGCATAGCAAAGTACAATAGCAGTCATTTTCTACTTCTTTGTCTGGAAAGCAACTTCTACGATAGGCTGTTAATAGGACATGATGCAACTTTTAAAACAAACAAAAAAATGGTTTATTGCTATAGTAAATGTCCTAATTTCTCTCTGGTAGATCTGCTTCAGCTCCAAAAAATAATGCAGACAATAGGACAACACAGCCACTTCAGGGAACTGACAACTTGAAAGGCATGAGCACAGGTAAATACCTAAAACTGAGGCCACAGAAGAAAGCCAGCTTGTTCCGTTAATGTACAAAGTCAGCAGTAGGAACCAGTTGTGCCTGAAGCAGAGCCACAGGCTAGAGTGCAGCACCTACCCATTACCTTTTTTTCCTCTGTATTTTTTTTCCATGTGAAATGGATACTGGTTTGTTGTACAATAAGCTTTGTGTAAAGTCCTAACAGAAGCAGCTGAAGCTTGAGGTATGACTGTTACCATTCTCGGGCTGGGGGGCTTCTAGTCTTTGCTTCAAAAATTGGTGAAGAAGCTCAAGGGATTGAACAAGATGGAGTCAATACTTTAAGTATTGGGTTTTGGCAGTAGTACTAGGCTTTAAGGCCTGTAAGTTTTTCAGTAGCAGAAATTTAGGGTCCTGAGAATAGCAGAAGCTCCCCAAATAAGCGGTAGGCTAAGCTGCTGTTCAACTATTAAACACTTTACTGTAGCATGGAGGAATTTTAAATTGTATGACCTTATCTATTGAGCTGTAAGAAGACCCAACTACTGCAGCCTGGTCCACATCATGTCTCTCAGGAGCAAGGGGGACCAACCCACAACCAGTAAATCAGAATTTAATTCCCACTCTTCCTGGAACAGGTCAGTTACGTGCCATACTCAAGTGTCAGGTAGACATTTAAAATACTGTACCATATTGCATGCTTATTCTGGGTTTTGCAGTGTAAAAATAAAACTGAAAATTAGTTAGGATAAATATTTATTTTCACATAACATTTCTTAATTGTGAAAAACACAATAGTCTATTCACATGTACACATAAACTTTTGTAATAAATTACATCCAAGAAATTGAGTAATTTTGACCAGGAATATGAAATTAGAAGTAAATATAGCACTACGTTTGCTTTATATTGTGTGTGATTTCAGAATGTTAAGATTAACATTGGAATAGCATTTAAATTCACACAAGAACAGAGTGACTGTTTTAAAATAAAACCACTCTGAAATACTGAACAGAAATACAGAATGCCATTGAATACACTGATTTCTTAATACTCTAAGAGTTGGTCAAGTGAAACTAATACATTTTTATTGTATACATTATCTGTAACAAAGTCAGCAACATATTAAAACACCACCAGGCCGCTTTCGGGACAAACCAGTATTGAACTTCTATACTAACCTTAAAACAATTGGAATCTTACAGTTCATCAAGTACACAAAACAAAGCATTTAACCTTAATGCATCAGCATTTTTTTTTCCTAAATTTGCAAATAGAAACATTGAATTAAATGTAAATCCTTTTTTTGTGTCCATTAGATTATTTTTTTTTCTCCATAAAAATGGCCTTTAATGGACTTTGATAATGCTAAGTCAAATTTAGTAGAGTGACCCTGTTAGTTTGCAGCAAAATGCAATTATCATTTATGGCTAAAGTAGTAAATCATCACAGTCACATGCACAAAAACATTAGGAGTATTTTAAATGTGCTGGATATGAAAAGTTCACATGAGGTCTATGGAAAGATGATCGTATTTTGGAAAGCTGGGGAATGTTAGAGCCTTGTAGATGAGTTGTTATGAAGATTACAAGACTATAATTCTTACTTGTAGGATTCAAAGTAATAGCGTAATAATGAGAGTTAGCTTTCATTTAATCATTTAAAAAATTATCTTAAAAAAATTTAAAAATCAGTGAATTGCAAATAATGCAATAAAACTTTTGTTCCACATCTGTATTAATTCAATACCTAATCTCACAGTCCTTGTTTTACACAAAAGAACAGCTTGAAGGATCAGGCAGTAACAAAATCCATTATGAAAAATGGCTTTAAAGCCACGTTTTACTTTGCAATGTCGTTTTTATCTTTTAATCAATATGTACTTGATGGAATAGTGAAGAGCTGTAACAAAATCAACAGCAGGATACCCATTTAAGTATTATACACAATTAATCTCTGAAATTAAGAGGTTTACAGTTGTTAGTAGAGAGAGGACAATATAAATATGCCTTTTATGTGGCTGTATTTAAGCAATAAAGAGGAAATTCATTGGGCAGGTGATATAACTGCATGTGGGGTATAGATTGTATCTACAAAATTTTCCCTATTATAAAATAGTGGATTCATTAATGACGTGATGCAAGTTGTTCGGCCTACCACGGCAACATTCATACAATACAAGATAAGATACTGTAATCACAGATTGCATTTTAAGAAATACTGTACCCATGTTTCACATCAAAGGATGTGGTGTTGTTTTTCAACTACGGTGAGAAAATGTTTTAATATATATTTTAATATATATTTTTAATATATATATATGACTATGTTCCAGTTACATACAAATTTGAATATTAAATACACTGTATTAAATCAAGGAAAACTTCACAAGTACAGAATCTGACCCTGCAATCCTCATTGCAAGAGTAATCCATGACTTCAAAAGGACAGCTTGAGGAGGAAAGGATTATCCTTGTTAGTTTGTTCACAGGGTCAGACCAGTTGTTACTTTAAAAACTTCTTTAATGTTTGCTTGTCAGTTTGGGTCTCTTGAAATCATTTACTCAAGTTAGGTGATTTTAAAATAAAAAAAAAAATGGAACAAGTGTTTTCCGGTTCATCTTGAATGAAGATTATTAAGTATTCTCACACAGAAAAAGTAGCAAAATACAGTACAAACCTATTCACAGGAAAGTTGAATTTCCAAGAAACTTTGCTTGTTAAATTTATGATACGAATACTGATAAATGGCTAGTATCAGCAAAGAACATGAAGATTTTTTGCATTGGCTACTGCAGACTTTCACACAGATACTAGACAATGTAGACATGTAGACAAGGTAAAATGAGACAAATATTGCACTACATTACCTGTGCTAGTTTGAGATGAAAGACAAAAGTTACAAGGTCAAATCACTATATTTAGTGGTTGTGGCACTCCTTTCATTCGTCTGTAAAAAAATTAATTGAAGAACAAGTCATAGACAAGTCTCCCGGTCAACACCTTTCCCTGAGTCAGCTTTCTTCTCTTTTCTGATTTCAGCACTAGGAAAAGAAGGAAAAAGAGTTACAGCAGCACTGAAATATATATTCATGATCTACCTGAAAGCCAGTATCACACTGATTAATTAGTTTTTCATGCTGCATAGCACAAACTGGGAAGCAAGTGAAAGTTTCTGTGCTGAATGGTGCAATAGACATCAGCCAGCATTTTAGTGACGTGGTAGGTAGAGAACTTAGGATGTACAGACAGACAAGTCAGCCAGCATGCAAGCGAAGATAGCCACTTTTTTTTTTTTGGCAAATACAACTGTTAATTGATTAATGGTACAGTAATGGTAATGGTACAGTTCTCAGACATTTTATTAAATGGCACAAACAAGAGGTCACAATAAGTATTTCTTGTCTTTAAAACGTATTCTGTTGCTCAGTGTACATTTAGAAGGAATGTTTCTGAACTAGGGCGGTGCAAGCCAATTTCTAACTAGTGTTTGGCTTTCAGTCTTGATTGGGGAGAGCAGGAGAAGGTTGGGGGGGGGAAGCGACAATATTCCCCATTTGGAGCTTAATACATACTTCCTCATGTATACTTTGTAAGGAAATAACTTTAAAAAAAAAAAAAAAAGCCTGAAAGATCATACAAGAGCCATATCACTGAGGACTCTGAAGCAGAGTTCAAATTTGGATTCAGCTTTTTTTCCAGTTAAAACACTGTTGATTTGCCTACAGAAAGCAATACATGTGCAAAGCAGATGATTTTTTTTTTATCTGTGAAGAGGGTCCTAATTTACAACAGCGTAAATGAATAAAAAGTCATGTTCTTGCAATGAGTTTCAATCACACTACAAAAATGCAAAGAGGCTTCCACAACACAGGCAAATCAAGCCTTCAACAAAGAGTGGCAGGGTATCTGAAAAAAAGATGGTTCTGAGAACAAACCTGTATCAAGCACATAACCTACCAGGTTTCATGGGAATAATTCCTTAACTAGAATGAATGAGAAATAGGCTGAGTTATACAAGGCTTCAAGACAGCAAGATCAATTCTCAAATTCTTAAGGCGATTCATGCACAATTTTACAATCATCTGGCATTTCTCTTCACATAAAAATTGCTTTAAGGATACAATTCAGTTCAGCCAAAGCTTACTTCTATGCCTATGGCAGCTTCCAGAGGTGTTAATGGAAATAGCTAAAGAATACCAACTTCTGCCACTTCAACTGCCAAATCTGTCACCTTCTGTAGAACAGTGATAGAATTGGGTATGTTACAATTTCTGCACACAAAGGGTATGCAAACAAATTCCTGGGGGGGTGAATTTAAAGTGCAGCAGTACAGCAGGCAGAGTTACCTGTGCTTAGTAAAAGCAAACACTGAGGATGTGTTGTGTGCCTTACAGTCTATAATATTTCCACGTTTTAGGTGCCTCTGTGATACCAGGAAAGTCTTCCTTCTATTTAGGATTCACATCTCTGAGCATCTCCTGCAGATGTGGGCTTTAATGCCTTGAGAAATTTGGAAAAAAAAAAAGGACAAGTCCAGTCTTTTACCAGTAAAACACATAACTGGTGGATCTATAAGGGACTTGGAGCTCTCTTCCTCCCTACCAAGGGAGTAGTCTAACAAGCATGAGAAGGAAGGTCTGGGATATGGGATTTGCCTATCTTCAGGTAAAGAAGGGAACTCATACCATCTACAAAGTGATAGATGGCTCTCTCTCCAATACTTTAAGAGACCAGCTAGGACTAGCTTCCATGCATGGTCAGATCTTCTTCTTCTGCTTGAACTTCAAAGGCATCAGTAAAATTAATTTCAAGACAACCTGATTTTTTCCCCCTAATGCAATGTAATACTGGTGATCTTGATCATTTGCAAAAATTATCCTTACAAGTGCTACCATTCCAAGCTTGCTTTTTGCTCAGTACTTACCTAGGATTGAATTATATCTTCATGTAATGATACATGCATTTAGGGAATATAATGTTTCTTTAGCTCTGTCTCTAATATGACTTAAGATTAATGTTGTCCATGGTTTTGCTTATCAGAAAGCAAGCCTTCCAGGTTTAAAGTTCTTTGAATCTACGTCTGTCTGGCAATCTGAGACAAGCTGGAGCACATGAAAAAGCAGGATTTCAGATTCTTTAAGAGGTTGTTCCTTCACAACAGGACACTCATACCTAAATCCATAAAACCTGTGATCCCTTAGGTCCTTTTCATCTGAGTGTTTGCGTTCATGAGCAAAGATACAAGAACAGATTGAAAATGAGCTCATTGGTAAATGAGTTTCTATTTTACTGCAGTGGAAAGGCCAAATCATCTTTTACCAATGTTGTCTGAGCCACAGTCTACGTGGATGCTCTTTGCTTAAAGGATCTTTGAAAATTTCAGGTAAAAATGGTACATGTTCACATAATCTGTCATACCATCAAAGAAAACAACATCCATCAGAAAAATTACAGCTACTGCAGTACCCAGTGGCTGTGAATGTACGTCGACAGCAGAGGCACATAAGGTTAAAAAAAACCCTACTGTACATCCTCCTCCCGTGCCCCACACTGATTTCACTGTGACAGGATCCTTTTTCAGCCCATGTAGAGTGGAAGGCAAATCAGAACTACACTGATATTTTGACTGTCAGTGAAATAGCATTAAAATGATCACATTAGTGGGCTGCTCCATGGGTGTCTGAAATGAAGATTCTCTGGTCATCAGCTGTTCATCTTGTTTATGCTGTTTAGGGAAGGGAACAACACTGAAAGGCAGCATGCCATTTTGGGGCGACAAAATTAAAAAATGTATTTCACTAGGAAATTGTTTCATTAAATATACTACATCTACAATTTCTATTTTTAATACACAATAAATTTCAGATTTTAATATTAAGGACTTTGATGAGGACATTTTACATTCCTATTTGAAATTTCTTTTCATTCTGTCTCCCCAAAAATTACACAAAGTCAAGTCATTTGGGTTCCTAGGTGACACCACTTTGAATTGGAAGATACAATCAAGGAAGAAGCTGGGGGACAGGGTCTTACCTTTGGGGAATCAGCTTCTAGACTGATTAGGAAGGGGAGCTTATGACAAAAATGTGATATAAAACAATTAAGTAGAAAATAGTTAAATTTAAAATTTGTGGAAACAGAGGAAAATCTCTCTTACAGTCACACTGTGCTTGTATTTATTTTCTTACTCCCATAATAACTCTGTAGCACAGATACAACATTGCTGCTTCATTTTACATTTGTCTGGACTAAAATTTAAAAGTATTTAACTGTTTTGAGTACAAGGGAAGTAGGCAGAAAAATGAAAGTAAGTGATGCAATCTTAAAATTATTTTCACTCCAAATATTAGTAGATTGCATTCAGAGTACTGGGCTCTTCATATCGGTCCTTCCAGGGCAGTGATGACCACTTCTTTTTCAAGAGGAAAGAACAAAAGCAAGCAGAACAAACACAACAGCTGTTGTGCAATACCCAGGTGTAGGCTGGTGGTTCATTACACAAGCATCAGGCTTTCATCATTACACAGCATCAACTTCATTTTCCACTGTAGCATAACTAAGTAGCATGCAAATATTTGTGATTTTTTTTTTTAAATAAATGTATACAGTGAATTTGTGGTTTGAGCTCAGAAAAGTATGACTGGACATAAATAAAATGGAACTTCCAAGAAATAAAACTGCAAGATGCTAGAAATCTTTCTAATCCCTAGCAAAATACTGTAATATCAGTTTGACGCCAAAATATAAAGTATAATGTAGTAAAAAAAAATAAAACCTTTTAGAAGGAAAGCTTGACTCCTTATCTTTTGCATTCTCCGAGGATATCAACAATGTCTTCCACACAGCAGTTTTTGCCATTTCATCAGAAATGTTTATCACAGATGGGTCATCTCTAGGCAAGAATAAAAGTAAATACACAATAAAACAATGAGCAGTCAGTCTTTGTTACTTATTAACTCTACAGAAGTCCTTGAAAACTAACAGTGATGACAATAAATAAGTGCAATGTAAGTTAAGAAATTATGTTAAACTTCAAAAATCCTGAAGAATGACTTAAGTATTCCTTTAAAACACCCTAGCAGTTTTTTAGCATTTTCCTCCTCCAACAGCAATTAATCACAGTCACATCAGAAAAATATATTGTTTCACTTCCAACTAATAGACAGAGAAAAATGAGGAACTGTGAAATTAAATATTGCCCAAGATCTCACAGCATGCCAGTGGCATAATTGGATTGACCAAGAATCCTAAGTGTTCCTAACAGTTCTCAAAGTACTTAGTACTCTGAAACTCCACCTGCTTTTAAAACAATTTTAAAAGCAATCAAAACCCTTGGCAAAGTCAAAGATTTAAGAGGTCTAATTAAAATGCCCCAATTGAACAAGCTAATCAGTAGCTTTAAGCAGCATTTTGTACCCATTATGCCCTTAGCTTTACCTGGACTGCTCCAAATATGTATTTATATAAAGTCTTAAATGTTTTAAGGGCCTGCCTGTATATTATTCCTGAATTCATGGTTTACATATGGCTTGACATTCAGTAAGCCCTCAGTAAACTTGTTTTCACAGTATTGTGAGGAACCACTTTATCAACCAATGTCTCGACTCTTCTTTTTAGCTGTAGGACTCTTACACTTACAGTACAAAACATCAGATACTATGCAGGCAACTCTACGTAAGTAAACACACTACAGAACAATATAGATCACAACTCAACATAAATTAAGCTAAGTATTGCTAATATAAAATAGAACAAAAAGGTATGGACAAAAGAAGAAAAAATCAGACCATTAGAATTGTGATGAAGCAAAAGTAACAAATAGGCTGGGATTTTTTCAGAGACACAGAGTTATTTGCCTTAGGAGACATTACAGTAACTTCGTGTTAGGAGTTAGGAAAGGCGGCCACTCTGAGACGGTGTTCCTATGAGCTCAACACTAATGCAGAGGTTACTATCAGCAGGTATTTCAAATCTTTATTAAGAGCTTTCTTTCTGAAAGCTCTAAATAAGAGTCCTTATGGACTGTCCATGCTTCTTATTACTATCTGTAACATTGGTTTTCCTGCTTAAGTTGTGTCAACCCTGCATTATGCCTTATCTATCCTGGACAGCTCTTGATTCCCTTATTATCTCACATAGATAGGATCTTTATTAGGATGTTCTAAAATGTAATACTGTAAGAACCTAATTTTTCTGGGGTGTATGCAAAATCTTTCCTGGCTCCCTGCCAGCAATGGGATGAATGGTTTGACCTGCATCTTCCTTTCATACTGTGTGTGTCAGAAGCCAAGGTTCATTATGAACGGCCTGATCCTGCAGTCCTGCCCAAGTGAAACTTCAACTAGTCTGTCCTTTCCCTAGGGACTGTCAGATCACATGGAAATACTAGAAAAGGGCTAAGCTTATCAAACATGGCAGTATATGGTTCAGTTCACCTATCTGTACTCCACTACCAGAAGACAAACATCCTCCTGATATTCAGTAAGCACTAAGAATAAATATTGTGGCATGTTTATTTTATTTGTTTAATTGCAACTCACCTAAAAGAGGAAAGGTATATTTTACCTGTAATGTCCTTCTAGTGGTAACTGAACAGTCCCTTCCTCTTCCATTGCTAACATACTTTGCTCTTCCTAGAAGGAAGGAATTTAGACATGAGACAGGAGATGATGTGAAAAGTGAAATTTATATACTTTAATCCTTTTTCTCCTTTAATATTAAGTATTTTAAGTTCTTAACGTAGGATACTTTTTTAAATTGAAATATTTGACATTTAAAACCCTCTATTTTAAAAGACGTATCTTCATTTAATGTTATTTTTCAATGCCAAACAAAGGAGACACTTTTGTAACAATAAAGGCAAAAATTAGTAACACTGAGTGAGCAACTGTATGGTGAATTTTAAATATCATGCATAACAGGATATAATTATTGCAATGTTAACATGCAAAAAATTAAGGAAGTCAAATTTAAGTTTGCACACACAGTTTTAATACTGATAAAGTTTTATTGCAGTGAGAGGTAGTGAAGAAACAAGACCTCAAAATTAGTTTTCACTTGAACAGGAGGAAAACTTCTGTGAGTAACAGGAAGTGAACTAGGACACATCTCTACCTAAAATCTTTTTGTCAAATATTTACAAATTTAGAAAATCTATCTTTGGGGGAGGAGAGAACAAAACAACACCCCTCAAGTACCATGTCCTACCTGCAAGGACAAAGGAAAACAAGTCTCTGTCTTTCAGGCATCAGCTCAAGGCTCCACGGGAGGATTCTTAAGGCTCAGGAAACCACAGCCAGGAGGTTAATGTGCCTTCACATGAATATAAGCACCAAATCTTGCCCTAGAGTGTTGTGCTGTGTGTGTATGAGTATAACAGACACCCAGAGACCTCCATGTTTTTCTTCCCTTTATTAGATGGCTTTGTAACAGGTTACCCTGGTGCCTGTTGGAAAGTGTGAGTTGGGTGTCCCAAAAAGAGCTTACCATTTTCTGGCAGATCACCCAAAACTCCACATGCATCACCCACATTGAGAAGTTGGTATTAGCTGGAAAAGCCAGTCCAATTTTCCAAAATAGCAGAATTTAAGTCCTCTCTGCACAGAAGTTTGTTTCTTCTACGTTTTACTATGACAACTATTTTAAAAGTCACAACATTTTTGTCTCCAAATGGGAGAAGTCACTTTGTCCATTCCTGTCTCAGAAAGACTTGATTAACATGAAAGTGCCTTCCAAAAGAGGTCTATGAGAAGAAGGCATAGATAATATCCACTATAAACGTACAAAGCTTTTGAAAAACATGGCCTAAAAGTATAAAAACAACTTAAGTGATGAAATTAGGATCCAATCAAGTAAGTTTCAGATCTTGTCAACTATATTTCTGAATATTCTTGTGGGTAGAATACTTCTATTTTTAAAAGCCGTGTGATAGCAACTCTCCAATTAATTCCTTAGGCTACATGTCAGAAGTTTTATTACTAGTTAATTTTGTCATTTCCAGGCTTCACAGCTTCATAAGTTTTTGACAGTTGAACAACCTTAATAATAGCTCCAAATATTTAGAAATGCCAAAATATGTAAAAATAACCTCTCAAAATAGACAGTGAATGAAATAAAGTAACACCAGTAGATTTTCCCAGTTTTGTTTTCTGATGCCATCCTATCAAACACGGGAAGGAAAGTGACATACAACCAAAACAGAAGGATAACAAGGAATTCTTTCCAATAACCAGGCCCACAAGAAGAGAGCTACCTTGGTTACTTTTGGTTACTCTGAATTGCAATGACAACAGATACTGTGATGAAACAGCTCTCTGGTCTGCTTCGATTCGAGGGGGAAAACAATGACTCACATATTTTAATTTCAGCCTGGTAGTTTTACAGGCACCTACTAAATAGTAAATAATCATCATGATGTTTATCACCTAGGTTAAACCTTTTCCCCAAAACGTATTCTATAGAACTATATTGAATGTGTCAAAGAAAGGAAAGTTATAGTTTTCCAGGTTACAGATGAGGCAGTGAGCTGTCAAGGGTCACAGAAGAATCCTAAAGGAAGAAAAATCTAGTTTTCGTAGTTACATGTTCAAATTATTAGCTCATGTCCTATTTCTGCAAATAGACTTACCAATGGGAATCCTTACACACACCATTTCACTGGTCTCAGAGCACATCTCAAGAGCGTGAGGATAAATTGCTGATTTATCCATTCACATTGTCTAGTTTTTGCAGTACCCTTGTACTACCAAAAGGCCATGTCTCACAGGCTTTTGCAGAGGTCTTTGGGGCATCTTAGAAGCCCTGTACACAACTGTCCCCAGACTGCTCTTGCCTAGAAGTGACCACAGCCTGCCAAGACCATGTGGCATCAACTGCGCCTTCACCTCCCACTGCCACCATAGCCTCACACCATACTACTATTTGAAAGTGCTGGCGCAGGACACACGACTCCCATTTAAAATAACCTGGCACCAATATATTGTACCTACTGCTCCTGCAGTTAATGCTTCTCCATTGACACTTGTCCCTCATTTATTTGGACCCAATACTGATGTTCCCTAGCAGTTGACATTGATCAGGTGGCTGATACGAGGGACAAAGGACAAAGACCTTTGTCCCTTACACATAAAGTTACTTTATATTCTCACAGTTTTATATGATACTCAAGCAATTCATGAAGCAGCAGCTAGATGAAATGCTATCAAACAGATGCAAAACCAGTTAGAAATCTACAATCAGAAAGCTATGTGTTTCACTGTCAAAATATAGGAACATTCTGAGTGGAAATGTGTAAGAATCTGTCCTGTATCAAGTTTATAAGAAATTATCTGAAATGCATATTCTTTGAAAGGAGTCAAGGAGTCCAGATCTGAAAGAGTCAACTGGGTGGTAGTGCCACAGGCTGTAAGTAAATGTCTGAGGATTTGGTTAACAGGGGCAAGCAGTGTCACTGACCTTTTCAGTAGAAAGTGGAAGTAAATTGTGTCTGCAGTAGAGAAGGAAAATGCTGGCCCAGAGCGTAATGGGGATAACTGCACATGGTTATGACACTCCTGAGTGGGGAAGGCACAGGGTGATGGTGTGTGACCTATGTATGGCTCAGATGTAACTGGGACATGCCATGACACTAAAATTCTGCAGTGCTCTCCTCAGCGTCTCCAGCAGGGATGAGACCAGTCCCACCACAGCATCAAATTGCCCCAGGCATCTGAGGGCTTTCCTACAGACAGAGCTTCATCCCTGCACATCATCTGAGTGCGTCCCAGGAGCAATCCCAGGAGCACTGTAGATACTATGTTACATGACATGGCAGCATACAAATCTACATCTAATAGACATCCCCACCTAAGCCTATTAGATTTGTAACCTTAAAAAGGATTTGTGTAAAATATGAAAATATTACAGTTTGTATCCTGTTAACAAGTCTGCCTGTTGCATGGAATATGCTTTATTTACCGAAAAAAACTGAAACCACGACCCACCTCTTTCTCAGCATCTTCCAGCTTCTTTTTCTTGCTCTCAGGCATCAAATCATCTAACCAACTGAGTTCCCGCTTAGTAAAAAAGAAATCCATGAGTTTCCGGACAAATACCAAAGCTAGGACCTGTAAAGATATTAATTCAAAGAATTAGAAAATTAAGCAAGTAAAACTAACAAATATGCTTGTAGAGGAATACTTCACCACAGTGATTACAGTTTACAGTCACCACAGCTTACAGCTGGAATTTTATCCATTAATTTGGATAGGCTAACAGTGGTCTTCCTTTGTTCAGATGAGGTATGGCTTGAAGCATTTAAGAATGACTGAGGTCAGTAGGTAGCTTTTATTTTCAATTAGTGAAATAATTAAAGAAATAATCACTTGAACAGCAGAATAGAATTTTCTTTTATTTCCAGCAAGACACAGAACTATCAGTAAAGTTCCTCAGTGCAACAAACAATCTTCCTTAATGTGTGAATGTTCTTTCTGTAAAACGATTAAGCACTACTCTGTAACTAAAAATATCAAATAAGTTTTAATTAATTTTTTTAAGAGAGGAATTTTCCCTAAGAGAATACACAGTCGGACTACCCACACATATAAACAGAGCACAACCTAGACTCAAACTAGAGGTTATAATGTTGAGTTTTTCCTTATTTCAGCATGAATTGTCCTTGAACATTGAATTGAAGCAAAATTGTAATTACCTGCCCACAATCAATTTTTTCTTCAATAATCATTATCCATAAGTGAAAAGAAAAGGGATTTTTAGAGGAAATAAAAAATATTTCATACCATCATAGGAAAGACAATGGCAGCTCTTGAAACCTTTATAATCCACAGAAGCACAAGACAACTCAGCTGAATTACAGTGAAGAGATGGACCTTTCTAAGAGGAACATGCCTCAGATAAATAAAATCTGGCTGATGCTTTGCAGGCATCCAGAATAACTTTATCCTGTCAAAAAGCTGAAAGATAAATTTTAAAGTTTGCATCAAAATGAGCTGTAGGATCATCTATGCTGACATTCACACATTGCCTAAGAGATCCTGAATATCCTAAGAATCTGGCTTGTTATTCTAAAGGCAAAAACTCTGCAGAAATTCAGGAGCACAGAAAAAGACAACCTCAGTTACAATCACGAGCCATGAATCTATACTAGCCCAATGGTGGTAAAGGACTCATCTTGTCTCCAGCTGAGCCACCTGAGTAAGAATGAAGATCGTATTATTTTAGTAAAGTTTCATTGTTTGGTTAGTTGTACTTCTTAAGTTCCTTTCAATTTTAATGCACATGTCACCTCCCTAGGTATTTCTATTGCAGATGTGCTGAGATTTTGGATTCCACTGAATGACATTCTGTATAGTCATATTCCAGGAAACATCCTGTTTGTAACTGCATAATACGCTACACACAGAGAAAATAGTCAAAAACTCTTAAAGATAGGCAAAGACAGACTTCAAAGTAGATGTGAATCAATTGTGAATAAAACTGGATGGAAGCTGTTGGGCGTAAGCACTGTTACGCTGCCTTTCTAATACAGTCTAAACTTCTGTTTTGTAATAACTGAGCTCTGCTTCCTTTAGCACACAAAAAGCTAATCATGGAAGGATCTCTTCAGTCTTTTATCTCCTGTGGATGAAACTCTTTTTTTTTTTTCCCAGTTTACTTCTCCAGACACTTTATTCCAGGCTGTTTTCTTTTCCTTATTGCACTTTCTTCACAAAACTAGGAAAAAAAAAAAAAAAGAAAGCCAGCCAGAAAGGCAACTGCCGTGCCATTAGGAATATACATGAAAGATTCTTCTTTTTCAGACCTATTTGGCTCCACACTGACCAGAGGCTTTGTGTCAGCTGCCATAGCACAGTGATGATGGTGATGCACCATTTCTCCCTGCATGGATGAGCCATGCTAGATTCACAGAGTCTTCAGGAATTTCAGGTTTCAGAAATTTTTACTGAGCATGTGTAAACTGCATTTTTTAAAGACTTATAATTTGGCCAGATTTGAGCAGATTTCTTTTTCACAGAAACAGCAAAAAGCACATCCTCCCACAAAAGACATCTTATCAAATCTCAAATCCTTGTCCCAGCTTGGGGGAGGGAGAAAGGGAGGAGGATGCTATCACTTTTCCAAGTAAAGATAGCCAGATTTTAGCATGCCTTAAAAACATTCCTCAATAGTGTACTTTCTCATACCCTTGTTCTGAGAAACAGCTGAACCATATTAACTTGAAATTATCTAAACCTCAGTAAAAGCCAAACTACACTTCTTAGAATATCAACCCAAATGGTAAGAGCTAGGCAAAGTTATAAAAGAACAGTCTCCGAATAGAAAACACCAGTCAAAACCAAGAGATGTTACCAGCTTTGCCTATAAATGAGGTAAAAAAAAGAAAGAATTTTTATACTCATAATCAAAAATTTAAATATAATGAAAGAAGCAATCAAGCATTTTCTTTGCTCTTTGTATTTGACAACCTTTTGCACAGTATAATTCATGGTTTTCTCATGGGATCGTTCTTTCTCAATTGTCTTGGAAGGTGTATCAATACCTCAACTTTCAAAAACAAAGGCACACTTGAAAATTCGAGTGTTTATCTCAGATGGGCTAAAAGATTTGACACCATGCCATTTAATGCTGCAGTCATCCAGGAGAAACGGTTCACAGGATACCATTACCAACCCTGACCTGAATGCTGGAAAGCCTGGCTTCCGCCAGGGGCTCCTACGTAAGGCACTGCAGG